TCCTGAGTAGCTAGGACTACAGGTGTGAGCCACTGTGCTTGGCTGGTTCAGACTTTTTTAAGAAAAGAAAAAGAAACAAAAATAAAATCCAAGCTATGCAAACAACTCTGAGGATCATACATGAGCTTAAAGGTCAGGAACTGGGAAATTTAAAATATACATCTGTTCAGATTCAGTATGTGCTACAAAATACTTCGCACATCCATTCCCTTATGTAGAATAAATAATAAACTCAGACTGAAGCCTATAAATTTATGTCCTAAAGATTATTCCATTGTACTCTAGTTTTTTACTAACAAGTTACATTATAATTGTAACAGACCATCCAATTAAAGGTCTGTTTATTGCTGTCTCACAGGGAAGATTTATGGGAAATAAAACCAATGTGGGGCAAGCAGAATGAGTTAAACAGATTAGAATGTTAACAATGAAGCTTCCTTATCTTGAAGTAGGGAGATCTCAAAATATGAAATATCTTCAAATTTCTATTTACCTAATTTAAAATTTTCAAAGTTTTTCTAAAAATTGGGGGAAAAAAAGGAAATGCTTCCCTTGAATCACTCCCATTCCATCAAAAAAATATACCTATTCCAGCTAATAACCTTCCTCTATAAATTAACCCAAAGAGTTTAAATAATTATATTCCAAAGTTTAAAAGGACCCCAAATAGTGATATATATCCAATCACCTAAAAGTGATATGGTTTGACTCCAGAACTTTATTTTAAAGGTTGTATAAGGCCTTTATGAGGGTTGTTAAAAACCTGGGTAATCTATCAAACTATATGCCATGAAAGAGAAAAGAGATGAATGCAAAAAAGACAGAAGAAATAAATAGTTTTCATTTGGTATAACCATTCAGTACGCCAAAATAACTATTCGGATTTCTCTCCCTATATGAGTAATGCTATTATAATTTCTAGACTTGTCTTAGTATTTGTGCTTACTAAAGAGTAAAAATATATTAAAATTTTAAATTAATTAAACCTTAGGCACTTAAATTAAGGCACAGATCAGTTTAGACATTAAAACAGTGTATAAGAACAAGTATTATTATAATATCACAAAAGGCTGATACATCACAACTGAACATACTTCCTCTAGGGTGTGCTTTTAGTGTATCATTCTTTAAACCTTAGTATATTTGTATGGCATGTACATGATAGCTTTTCATAATCATAAACCTTCTGAGATATTCTGAGTGATGTATTAATATGCTAAAATCACAGTGATATGCACTCTTTCAGTAGGGCAATAATTATTATTGTCAGTGATGGTATACAGCTTCTTCAGATCCTCTTCCCATAGAAGTGAAGCTCAAACAGCACTATACAATTAGTGAGTCAGTAAAAAATAAATCCTCCCATATGCTCCTAATGTGATTAATTCTTTATAAACACCAGAAAACATATAATCAACTTGGATAATAAGAGTCCCAAGGCCTAAAGGCTTAATAACTCATATCTCGGTCATGGCTGAATGGCCAGGGAAATGAACATCATGATGGACTCCTGCATTCTTCACATTGTGCTCAAGTACAAAGTCAGTGTAGTTTCTATGTGCAGCATGGGTGGGCAAGGCCCTTGTGTTCCACTGGTTTCCACCACGTTGATAACGGTCACTGGCAGCAGGGAGCCTGGATGGTTGGGGAGTGGGAGGGAGCACAGTTAGTCAATAGGAAAAGGGAGAAAATGGATGTGTAAGTGATAATAAAGGAGAAAGGTAATGTGACTAGCATGCAACACTGCTCAGTATTTTACCAACATTGATTCCATGCAATAACATTCAAGAATTACAAACAGGGAGTATCCATAAAGTTACATGTAAATCAAAATGCCAGTGTGGAAATACATGTAATCAGAATCTGTTAAGTGAATTAATGAATAAAGAAATGTCATAATGAGTAAGACACTTGGTATCTGTCCCCGATGTTACTATCTAAGCCAGAAATCATGTTTGGTGTATTAATGAAGAAGAAAAATACTAATCTTTTAAAGGAAAATATTCATAATTACTTAGTTCAAATATGTGAAAGTACTGTAAAGAGACAAAAGCATATGGTAACTGATATTGTGTAAAAATTATCTCTCAAATTTAAATGATTTCAAAAAACTGAAATTTAGAAAACAAAATTCAGAAGAACATTAAAAGAAAAATCTTCTGTTCTCAGAGTAATTTTATAACTCACAAGGATAATGTGATGAGATTATAAACCCCCTCCAAGAAGCTATTCAAGCATAATAGATGCCTTTTAGCACAGTGCTGCAGAACTGGAAAAATGAAATGGACACATGCAGTTTCGCTTAAAAATGGTTAAAGTCTTCCAGTAGAAAGAAAACATTTGTGAAGGTTCAGCAAATCAAAATTTTATGGTATGGCAAAATGGTATGGTATGGTAAAATATAATTCAAGTAACTACAAAGGAATAAAGTCACCTCAAAAACAATGTTTGAAAAAGATCCTTAGTCCTTTTTTGCTTTAGTTTTCTTTTAGACAAGGTCTTGATCTTTTTTTTTCTGCCCTCAGACCTACCTATGTTGTCTGAGTAGCTGGAATTACAGATGTGTATCACCACACCTGGCTTGTTGATTGGGTTGAGGTCCACCTTCTGAGTGGCTAGAATTACAGTTTTGTGCTACCACACAGGGCTCTCAATATCCATTTTCAGCCTTTTTCAGCTTTAGGAAAACTGGAATAAAATTTTCAGAACAAATACAGACAGTTTTGTTTTTAAACCATAAAATGACCTTTCCTTCAAATGAAATATAACTTGTTAATCAGAACTAACTTACAAAATCATTACCCTCAACACAAGGTCTCCAAAATTTTAGAAAATTAAATTGGATTCATGTCTTGCCTCTTATGCAAGATTTCTAAATTCTGTTTTGTTTTCTCCTTTTTTTTGAGGCAGATGCCACTATGGAGCCCAGGCCTCAAACTTGTGCTCTTTTTACTTATACCTCTCATGTATAATTACAGGAGTATTTTATTTTGATTTTTTGAGACAAGATTTTACTAGATTACTTAGACTGGACTATAATTCCTGGGCTCAGGAGTCTCTCTTGCCTGAGACTCTCAAGAAGCTGGGATAGCAAGCATGCATCACTGTGCTTAGCTTGCTTATAAATGATTTATTTATGTGCTTAACTTTCACAAATTTTTTCTCAAAGGGTGATAAATTTTCAGTTACTGATACAGGAGGACTGTTACATATTATTTTAAATCAAAGCATGCAGAAACAAAGAATAAAATATTGAATGCATTTTAAGTTAATGTGAGAAAATCCATTAGCTGCTAGACATGCCAGCTCTATGCTCAGTTCCATGCTGTGTAAACTCTGTGACTCATCCATAAGGATCACCATTCTATTTCATCCAGCAAAGGAGGGCTCAGCCCAAACACACAAAGCAAGGATTACACACAGCTCCAAGGTTTCATTTTTCTTGAAATGCGAAGCAGATACTCTAAAACCTGCATCAAAGGAACTGGGTAAGCTAAAAAAAATTATGTCAAATACCTTTAAATATATACTCATTAAAATGGAAAAACTCGCCAGCCACTTCGCCAGGCATCAGTGGCTCACACCTGTAATCCTAGCTACTCAGGAGGCTGAGATCTGAGGGTCACAGTTCAAAGCCAGCCTGGGCAGGAAAGTCTGTGAAACTCTTTTATCTCCAATAAACAACCAGAAAACCGGAAGTGGTGCTGTGGCTCAAGTGGTAGAACACTAGCCTTGAGCTGAGAGCTAAGGAACAGCGCTCAGGCCCAGAGTTCAAGCCCCACAACCAACAACAACAAAAAAAGACTTATAGGTAATATTAAGAAGATGAAGATGAAGCATAGCTGCTTACAGGAGCTGTGTGTTCAATAAGAAGTTGAAGAAACTTTCCTAGACTTAAGACTAAAACTTGACATTGGTCACTTGTTATATTTGAAGTATGCACGCAGGTGTGCGCATGCACACATGCACGTACACACACACAAACATACACTACTCCTACCGCATTCTCAACTATAAAGGAAAATTTTAAATGACAAAATGTGGGGAATCCCCCCCTTGAATCTTAAACCCATGTTATCAGGAATTGGAAGTAAAATCATGCCCGACCATCAAAAGCAAAGCATCCTGCAGTTAGTTAAGCCAACAATAACAGTGAAAAAAATTACATAGCAAAGACTGAAAATAATCACCAACCACTGTTGACCCACCACCACGAGGAAGAACTGGTTGCACAGAAAGCTGACCAAAACCTTGAGACCACCACACAAACTCATTAGATTTCAGGTATTATACAAACTAAGAGCAAGAGAAAAAAGAAAAAAAATCCTATGAATTATCAATGTTCATTTAATAAATAGACACAAAAGCTGAATAGATGATAGATGCATCCAACATACTATGCAGTCAATTAATTCCCAAGAAATCCTTCTCCAAACCACATTAAGTAATCTGGAAAAGGATGAACCCGAGTGATTAACTGAAACCATCCACAAAGTATCCATATTTGTGTATTCAACATTCATGTAGAAAAAGACACTAGTAACATAAATGAATTAAACACATTAACTCTCATCAAATTCTGTCTCAATCTCCAAAAAAAGTGTAATATTTTATGATTTACTTTATTAGACTAATTTGTTTCCTTTTGGCATAACATTCAGTCTTTAATGAGGAACGTCACGTGTATAGAACAAAATAAACTTATTTTCCTTATGATCTAGGAAAAGGTTCTACTTATTACAAAGAAGATTATTGTCAACAGAGAATCACTTACTACTCCCAGATCATATTAATCCAAACAAAGACAGCTGTCTCATGTTCTCCATTTAGACAAGTCTACTCCCTTCTTCCTCCACATACCTTATTTTCCTCATCCCCCAATGAATGCTTAGTAGTCATCTTCTCAGCTCACAAATATGGATAATTTGTTTTCAATCATACTTATAGTTCTCATAAGATTTGGAATCAAGCAAGTAATTATTTTTAAAGAGCTAACAAACCATTTCCTGTTGTGTTGGTCTGTTCCAGAACTCTGTGGAAGATTCTCTATCTCTACCAGCACCGGAGCAGAAAATGTGGAAGGAATCACAGGCGGAGAAGACTGTACACCCCAAGCCTTTGGACAAAAATAAAATTCACAGATTTTGCTTAAATAAAAGGTCAAACAGAATACTAACAAACACAAATACTAAAAAATATTTAATACAGAATATTAAAATGGATTACCTACAGAGTGAATAAATGTGATAAAATGTTTAAATTTTATATACTACATTAGAATAGATAACTTTACTACTTATTGACTGTATTTTCTTGTATTTACGGATTATCTGTTCTATTTATATCTTATGGATAGCAAGAATAAGGAGTCAGACATTACTTAAGGATAAGAACAAGAAAATGTAAAAACTGTATAAAGTCACACCACTGAAATTTCAATTAATGCTACTAGTTTACTAACTACCTAGTGTATTCAGTATTTTAGCAGGTTAGTATTATCTTACCTGTTGGGAGTTAGTACTCTGAGTTGAAACACTATTGTGAACACTGAAACGGGATGAAAACAGAAAAGATTATAAATTCTAGAGCTTTGCTTTTTAAAAAATAATTCACACACCAAAAAACTCCTTAATTCAAAACATCCAGCACAAATACTCATTACAAATACTTATTACTACTATTCAAGATTTTCCAGTAGCGGGGCTGGGAATATGGCCTAGTGAGTGCTTGCCTAGCATGCATGAAGCCCTGGGTTCATTTCCTCAGTACCACATAAACAGAAAAAGCCGGAAGTGGCGCTGTGGCTCAAGTGGCAGAATGCTAGTGAGCAAAAGAAGATCAGAGCAGTGCCCAGGCCCAGAGTTCAGGCTCCACAACTGATTAAAAAAAAAAGAAAGAAAGAAGAAAAGAGAGAAGAAATCTCTACAGATAGCCTCTCCAATGACTTTATATCTATATCTTTATCTTTACATTTGGAGCCAGACCAGGGCCTGCATGCTGTCCTTAATTGTTTTTGTTCAAGGCTACCACTCTACCATTTGAACCACAACTCCACTTTTGGCTTTTAGGTGGTTAATTGGACATAAGAGTTTCATAGACTTCACTGACCAGCCCTGACTTCAAACAGTGATTCCCAGATTTCAGCCTACTGAGTAACCTGCATTGCAGAAGTGAGTCACTGAAACCCAGCACAAATATAGTTTTAAGTGTCTAGTTTAGGAGACATTTATTCAAATATTCCATCATCAAATTTAAAAACATGCTCAAGCTATAATCAACTAAATAAATAGAAATAAACTACAAAACAGTAAAAAAATTAAAAAAGTGAAATAAAAATTCAAAGGTGAGATATTACATCAAGATGAGGAAGACAAAGGTTGACTGTACATATTCTAACATATTAAACAGTAACTCCTTTGTATACTTAACTAAAAATAAGTTTAAAAAATATTCTAAACTGGATCCGGGCGCTGGTGGCTCACCCCTGTAATCCTAACTACTCAGGAGGCTGAGATCTGAGAATTGCGGTTCAAAGCCAGCCTGGGCAGGAAAGACCGTGAGACTCCTATCTCCAATAAACCACTCAGAAAACCAGAAGTGGTGCTATGGCTCAAGTGGTAGAGTACTACTAGCCTTTAGCTGAAGAGTTGAGGGACAGCGCTCAGGCCAAGAGTTCAAGTCCCACAACTGACAAAAAAAAAAAAAAAAAAAAGGGAATGTAGCTTAGTGGCAGAGTACTTGCCTAGCATGCATAAAGCCCTGGATTTGATTCCTCAGTCCCACAAAAATAGAAAAGGCTGGAAGTGGCACCATGGCTCAAGTGGTAGAGTGCTAGCCTTGAGCAAAAAGAAACTCAGTGAAAATGCCCATGCCCTGAGTTCAAGCCCCAGTAATGGCAAAATATATAATATATATGTAATATGTATTCTTTTTTTAGTTTTTACTTTGTCATTTTATTTTATTTTTATTTTTTATTGTGAAAATACTGTACAGGAGTTACAATTACATGAGCAAGATAATGAGTACATTTCTTATCAAGCATAGTAGCCTCCTCCTTTGTTTCCCCTTCCCATCCTCCCATAGCTTCCCCACCCAATCCTCCCCGCCCCCCTCTCCCCCGGCACGAAAGTTGTAAAGTTCGTTTTTGACACAACGACTTGTACATCTCATTGTTGCAATGGGTCCAACTGTATCTCGATTTAAACGATTTGCTTTTCCCCTTCCCCTCCACAAATTA